ACTGTTGACCACAACATATTGCTAGACCGTCTAGAAAACTGGGTGGGAGTTTCAGGAACAGCTCTAAATTGGTTTAGTACCTACTTAAAGGACAGAAAAAACTTTGTCTCAATAGGCAATTACACATCAACTTTGACAAATATGTCATGCGGGGTTCCTCAAGGCTCCATCTTAGGACCTTTGCGTTTTAATATTTATATGCTACCTCTTGCTGAAATTATTAAAAAAGAGCGATCTAAGTTANGATTCATTACAAATCAACTGAAATATTGCAAGCCTTTTATTATTTTAATATTAGAGATAGGATATTTGAGTTTTCTTAAGCTGTATGCCATAATCAGCAATATTAAAATAATAAAAGGCTTGCAATATTTCAGTTGATTTGTAATGAATCCAGAATGTATGACATTTTTGTTTTTTTAATTGCATTACAGAAAATAAAGAACTTTATCACAATATTCTAATTTTCTGAGACAGTCCTGTATGTTGTGGTCAACAGTGTCAAATGCAGCGCTGAGATCTAATAATACTAAAACTGATATTCTGCCACTGTCTGTGTTTAAATGAATGTCATTTAAGACCTTTACAAGTGCAGTTTCAGTGCTGTGGTTAGGTCTAAAGCCTGACTGAAACACATCAAAACCGTCAATTAAAAACATGAAATTACTCAACTGTTGAAAAACAACTTTTTCAATCAATTCGCTTAAAAAAGGAAGGTTTGATATTGGCCTGTAATTATTCATTATGATTGTGTCCAAGTTATGCTTTTTTAGGAGCGGTTTGATTACTGCAGTTTTCATGGCCTGTGGAAATACACCCGAGTGGAGAAACTTGTTTACTATGTGTAGTATATCTGAGGCCATACAGGGAAAAACTGTTTTGAAAAATCCTGTCGGAATAATATCGAGGCTACAGGAGGAGGATTTCAGATGTTGAATAATGTCTTCCAGGTCATTAGCATTTATCAGACGGAATTGTGTCATGATGTCTGGATTGACTTTAGGTGAACACAGGGACAAAACATTGGCTGTACGTGATACAGAGGCTCTGACTGCCTGTCTAATTTGCATGATTTTGTCAGTGAAGAAGGAAGCAAAATCATTGCAGGCCCTGGTGGATAGAAATTCTGAAGCTACTGAACTTACAATGTAATGTAGCAAAAGTAGCTACTGATATCACAGCTGGCACATTCTAGCATATGCACAGCGCTACACATTATTACATTCAGACATAACACGACACCAATGTTTGTGTTCTCTAATTTTTTGTTTCAGTCCATCAAACGTTCCTGATGAAGGCAGCCTGCAAAATGGAAACTCTAATGGAGGCCGGCTCCAGAGACCAGAATATGCACGGGGTAAGTATATAACTTACTTCGATTTTTTTCATACTCGCTTTCACTGCTACATATACAAGAACCTACGTTTTGCCCTAAACTGTTTAACTCTGTTTGCTGCAAACTCACTTCTGTATCCTTAGGTACGGCTACTCCTCCACTTGCCAGCTACGAGTACCCAAGCTTGCCCATAACCAAAAACAGACAGAAGGTATAATGTACCATTCATACAACACATACCCCCAACCCTATAGCCTGATGGTCTGAAAGTACACTCTCGTTCTCCTGTATTATTTTCTCTTTTTGTTCTGTTGGGAGTGTACTGACATGAATTAAAGTCCTCAGGACATTGGTGCACTTACTGGAGCTATTACTGTTTTCTCAAGATGAACTCAATGTCATTTAATGTTGCAGAACAGCTAACTTTAAATTCACTTGTTTAAACGTTTTTTCTGTGTCGTTCAAGCTGTCATTTGTCTCCTTAATGCAAATTATAAAGTGTTGACTGTCTGTAACTAATCAGCTTAGCACACGCATCTGCTCTACAATTTCATTTCAACTTGTTTTTTAAATGTGCGTGTGTGTTTGCTTTCAGCTGGTTTCCCTCATAGAAAACAACTCTGTGGTGATCATACGAGGAGCCACAGGCAGTGGCAAGACCACCCAGGTGCCACAGTTCATTCTGGACCACTACAATAACAGAAATTCTGCCTGCAACATTGTGGTCACCCAACCACGCAAGATTGGTGCCACCAGTATTGCCCGATGGGTAGCCAAACAGCGGAAGTGTTCCCTGGGTAGTCTGGTTGGATATCAGGTTAGTGCAACTTTTAAACAGAATCAGATTAACTTGAACTGTGCCATACACCATACATACATGAACCTCTACATAACACCCGTACTAAAATTCTGTTTTAATAAAAAAAGGTGAAAAAAGAAAGGATTTTAACAGATTAAATACCTGGACAAAAGCACTCATTGGACCTCTTTCAAAACTAAAAGAGAGTTGTAGAATGCTTATGTTAACAAGCCCTTTTTGCATTGTTGCCAGGATGTTTGGCTGTGTTATACAGAGCTTTGAAACAGCAAGTTTAATAATAACTGTTGTAGACTTTGGATCATTGTTAACACTTAGTGTTAGTAAGAGATGTAATTCTCCAGATATGCAGAATAATAAAACAGGATTGTCTTCATTTGCATACTTAAAAGATGCTGTTTAGATGTTTGTCTCATTGTCTAATATATCTTATTTGCTTTAATCAAAAACATCTTCCATGTTCCCTTTTCCTATTTCCTTTTGCGAAAGTCCTGCAGTCATTGAATGTAAAGTTCTGTTGGCAATCAAAAAAGTATTTTCCTAAGTTCATGCACAGAGTAACACTCACGGGTAATTTTTCCAACAACAACCAAAATGATGGCATTGTCGATGTATATTTTTAAAAATCATGGAAAAAGTTAAAGCCTAAGCTACTATAGAGGAAGCATACTATGGCTTCTCATGTTCCTCTTCTCAAGCAGTAGATTACAACAGTGCATGAACATTGTACAAAACACCAAAAGGTGATGGTATTTCACTGCACTGAGCTAATGTTTTCTGATGATGCAATACAAGTATCCATAATGATTTACAGTTTTATAAATAACATTTGTTATATCTGTTTTTCAGGTTGGACTGGAAAAGATGGCTACTGAGCACACCCGGCTCATCTACATGACTACAGGAGTGCTGCTGCAAAAGCTGGTTGTAGCCAAACGCCTCACAGAGTTCTCCCACATCTTTGTCGACGAGGTGCTTAAATATGTTGTTTTTGTAATTATGCTTCTGTCACATTATTTCATTTGGTTTTCCCATTCTAGTGAAAGCACTATCTCAGGAACACTGAGAGGATTTCTTCAAATGTTGCACAAATCTCCCCTTGGGCTCAAGTTTGAACTAATTAATGAACTAATAAGAATGTGGGTGTCCAAAAATTGAGGTCACCAAGACCTCACAAAACACCATCAATCAAGAAACCACTTAATGACACTTTCACACATATATTTAATAGGATAAAAGTATGAAGTGATTACATTTTAGACCCTCCAGAAAAACGCAGGCAAAAATCCTTGATTATGCGGGCTAAATTAATTGATTATGCGGGCTAAAACCCTTGATTATGCGATTAAACATGCAGGGTTTTTATGTGATTTTATGCGGTGAAATTGCGGGAAGTTGCGAAATATGCGGAAATATGCGGAAAGTTGCGAAATATGCGGGGGAAAAGAATAAAAACATTTTTAAATATTGGGCTGTCTTATTTATTCTCTCTCACACACAACCTGCCACTAACGTTAAACCCCTTTACTATTCAATTAAACACATTCAATGTTTATTTATTGTAAAAGCAATTGGGCTATTTTAATCAAACACACACACACACACACACTTCTCCGCCTCATTCTGTTTTCATTTACTCGTTCGTTATCTGACCAGCTTCAATCTTGTAGGCTACTCACTTCGTTTCTTGTAGCCCTCGAAAGGGTTTTGGAGGTTGATGCTCACCGTCGATTTTCTCTTATGCTCCAACCAATATACAGTCTACGGCTCCAACACACAGTTGCACGGGGTGCAGAATAGTTTCCCCCCACTTTTTGCCCGGTCTTTAGTAGAAATGTTCGTCGGTAAATGAGATGGNATCCTTGGCGCTCATCCAGTTGCATGTTGAAGATCTTTTGGCAACAAACACAACTTAGGCCTATACTCCAATGCTCCACAAGCAAGTGGGTGATTGAACATCTAGCCGATCTAGAAATCATTCTTACAGACCATGACAGCCTTGTAAGTCTTTTCGTGTGTCATCATGCAAAATGTTGGCTCCCTGAGGTCCTGTCTTATTTGAGGGAGGGTCACAGGTTTTTTACAGGTGATCTGGGCACTCACATGTCGACACGACGGATTGCCTTGCCTTTGTTCGGAACTCAATTTTATTGTATTGCAATGGGTGATTACACTTTATAAGATATTAAAGTAAGTCTAGTACTTTGAATGTGATATTATACCTTATTTATAATGTTCTAATTACCTCATTCACACCAACGCAACTCCGGTTTCAAGCTCCGTGCTAGGCTTTTCAGGTCCAGAACCAGTTCTTCGGTTGACTCGGCTCTTTCCTCCCACCGCCCAGAGTTCCGGACTGGTGCTGCGTCATGCGTCATTGTCTTGCCGTCATAAGACGTAACCGTATTGACACGTGCCTGCTCTCATAAAGACCCTCACAGCTGACACCGACAACAACACGAATGGCCGCTGATTGTGCTCCAGCTTCCTCTGTACCTCTTCGGAAGACCAGATTCCCAGTAAGTAGCTGGTCTCTTCAGTGGACCACTGCTGCTTGTTAAGTTTCTCCATCGTTGTGTACAAACTGGATAAAACGCCGGCTTTTTGTTGTTGTTCAGGAGTTGATCCCGCCCCTGCCCCCGCCTCGACGTAAGCGTGACGTATGCGGTGCTTTTGCCCCCTTGAATTTTTTTTTTGCATTTTTTTTTGCATTTTTTGGTGCTTGAAACGAACCGGATTCCGGAGCTAAGAGGTTGCTCCACTGCGGTGTGAACAGGAAAACCCGGTGCTTTTCAAGCTCCAGCTCCGAACCGGCCCTGAAACACCGTTGGTGAGAATGAGGTAATACTGCCGGAGTTGCAGTTGAAAGAAAAAAATGTAACTAAACTGAGACTCATATTGTTATAGCCCTGTCTCTGAATTCTAGCACTCCTAAGGCCTATGTCAATCTTCGTTCCATAATTAGTTGCTTTTATATTTGTTAATTTGTATTTTCAAACATAACCTAAGGCAGGTGGAGCATTCCTCCCTTGTTACCACAGAGGAGGTGACAAGTGGGGAAGGGGCATTCCCACCCCACCAAGGGGATGGGGGGGGTGTTGAGGTTGGTGTGATCCAATCTCAAGATGCTGATGATGTGCTTACCTTATAGTAATTCTAAATCAATAGAGACAACCAGGTGTTTAGCCCATGAGATCTACAGGTCTTATCAGTCTTCATGTTGTGACAAATAAAACAACACCAAAATAAGACACTCTCAGCTCCTAAATAATCCCTCAAAAGTGTCACTGTAATCATGTTTAAAGATTGTGGAAGATCCTTCCCCATATGTCAGACATCTAAGTCCCATTAGCTTGAGCTGAGACGATGACCTTCAGGTTATTTATGACCTGTAGGATTGACCAAGGTAAGAACCAGCAATGATCTCCTTGTCACTTTCACTAGTTTATATCAAACGGCTGATGCTTCATCACCAACCCAACTGATGGCTCAATTCCAGCAGCAAAAATACAATCAGCTGCAACATTGACCATCTGTCTGTGGGAAAAATATTGCGTTTATGAAGGCGAGCGCAAGTTTTTCAGGGTTATGGTGAGAAGTCAAACAGCTCACAGCATTTAGGTCACCCACTGATGATCAGTTAAGGGGAAAAAGTACAATGTCCCAACTCATGCACATCCCTGTTAAGTGAATTCAGACATGTATGGGTGTGCATTACACAGCGACATGCCTTTTAACGGTGCAGGATTAGCATAGCACTGTTACCCACGTGTCAAACGCAATCAGAGTGACTGCTAGGTCAGAACTGAGTTTTCAGGCTTACTGGTGTATGAAATTCATTTACTCCACACTTCTTCTCAGACTTCATCTTAAATCAGTGGCCATTCAGCTCTGATGGGAGGACTTATGGCATGTGGCGGCCTGCAGCAAATTCAGCAGAGGACTTTGCACTTTAGAAGGAAATGTTGGCAGAGGTGGTGTAAGGTTAGGATCAGATGTGGCTAATGTGTCATCTTTGGGACAGTGATGTGTAATGCTGCTTCCATTTAGTCGTCATAAGTTTAAAAAAATGTACAGTGTGTGTGTTCATATTTATTTATAAGTTAGTACTATGTATATCCCAACATAGCTAGTTTGCGTGTGTGCTCTAAAACAGACACAATTATACTTTCTGGTGAAAGACAAGAAAAACTATCCCAAAAGTCCCCCCAAAATAAAATGGGTGAGGCTGCTTTTATCCACTACGCTCCCAAACTGTGGAACACCCTACCAGGAAATATCAGAGAGGCCAACTCAGTGGACATATTAAACGACAGCTAAAGACACATCTTTTTAGATTAGCTTTTTATTAGCAACCCCCCACTTTAAATGTTATTTTGGTCTTTATTATTTACCTACCTTTATATTGTTTTATTTATTTTATAGGTCTTAATCTTTTTTTTTCTTTTTCCGGTTGTACCGATATGTTCACTTTGTTTTATGGGCTTTTATATTTCATATTGTTGCATCGACTCAGTTGTCTTGTGTCTTATCTGTCAGAGAGAAACCATTATTTATTTTATTTGTATTATCATACATTTTACCTCCTTGTGTCTATTAACCTGATAAAATGTTATATTTTGCTGCATGTACCTTTTAAAGTTCTTAACAAATAATTTCTTGTTTGTTTTTAACTTGTGATGTGTCATTTTGTAAAGCACTTGTGTTGTATGAAAAGTGCTATATATAAATAAAGCTTTATTATAATTATCTTTACAAATGCCTAATGACTACACATACATTCAATTTACAAAAAGAGTGGATAGTTTGGTCAACAAAATATATACATTCTTGTTATTGTTTTTCGAAATGTCTGTCTGCAAACCGGGGCCAGGGAAAAAAGTAAGTGCACTGTTATTGTACTGCCTGGATGTAAGCCATATTGATCTGCAGTATTTCTAATGGACTGTATTATGTAAAGTGCTCTGTGTACAGTAGGTTTGTGTGAGGTCAAATTAATTTGATTCTTCAGAAAAACACACTTTTTGAAGTGCCTGTTTAGTTTTTCAATTATATTACGTAACCAGTCCGTTGAATTCAAAGTTTTATAGACGTACCATTATCAGTATCATAATTAAAAAGAGATTGGTGGGTGTATCATTTTGCAGATGTACCTTCTGCCTACTAAATGGTTGAATTTTGGCTGTGCAGAAAATTGCTTTACAACCACTTATGTCTTAATTTCTTTAATACTGTCTCCCTTGAACAAAAATATTGACTGGTATGAAATCGCCACCTAGTACTCCTACCTACATCATCAACTCCATGGCAACATTGTACTCCATGTTATAATCCCCAAAAGTCCTAAGACTTGTCCTCAAGTAACAGAAATGCATAGCGTCAGAAATCTGTTTCTGTCATCCTAGCCTGTGAGCATTTACCCAGATTCCCTTTAGTCTTTTGTCTGGCTCACCAGGCTCTTGTACCTTCCAGGCAATTAGTCAGTCAACGCTCCATCACCCAATCAAAAGGCCTCCATAATAACCAGTGGGATACCAATTAGAGAGAGGTGCTCATATCTCCTATGCCAGGTTTCAGCCTCCTATACAGAGCTACATTAATAGGGCTGAGTGGCTGTCAGAGATCAGTATATTATACTTTGAAACTGAAATAGGTCGGATGAAAGAAAATCAAACAGGATTTTGAAGTCGGGTAGAAGAAATAGAAACCTGTACCAAGAATCCGCAAAAATATCACAGCGATGAAAAAAGTGTCATGATTCAGCCTGATGTGTTGCAGATGGTTAAGATACCTCTGATCCTGTCTGTCACTTTTGATGTGAGGGACGAGCACAGCCTGTAAAAAGCATATTGATTGAATGTAATGGAACCTCCTCACATCTACATCTGTTCTCATTTCACCCAAGCCCTAGAGGGTCAACACAGTATCTATGGTAATTGGAAATGCTGCCGAACCCCTCGCTGTGAAGGACAAAAACAATTTTGGCCAGGGTGGGTAATAAATGGGACTAATGTCTTTGCCGTTTGGATGCTGTCTGCAGGGCTGAGTTTTGTGTATACAGCCTAAGGCGTAGGAAATGTTGCTCTTCTGAGTTCAGCTTTGACAAATCTCTGAACCCAGCCTTCTGGAGGAAAAATGAAACAGCCAGCAGCAAATCTAGAAATAGGCGCTATGAAAATAACCTATATCAATAACATTGACTGAGGCATGACCACACACAAAACAACATACACCTTCAAAATAACTTGAACTGTTTGTGCTTTTTGTCCAAAGGAGTGTTGAATATATCTCTCAAATGCAACATCATATCATACCCAGAGAGATTGTATAAAAAATGGTAGATTTAGCAGCAACTTATGAGACACAATAAGATCGCATTTAAAGACAGCTAGCATTGTGGACTGAGCTTTCCCCACTGAAATCTGGAGAAGAACAAGATGAAGGATCCAGGGTAAACCAAAGGGACAAAGGAGGAGAGCTCCAGATTTATGGATAAAAAGGAGATACAGTATATTCCTCACTGGGCAACGTAAGATCACTGGCTATAATGGACAAGCTAATTGTGTTGGCTTGGAGTCCGACGGAATATATGGAGGGTAGTTTGATGTGCTTTACTGAAACATGGCTGCCCCTTATGGTTGGACCTGTACCACAATATAACTGAAAACAACATTTCTATCAATGGCTTCTGGACTGTTCGGGGCAACACTTTCATCAACAACGTTTCCAACATTTCCTTTGAATGCTTCCAGACGGTTCGGGTCGATAAGGATGCATCAAGGGCTTCACCATGTCTTCACCATTAGCCTGAGTCTTTTACATCCTGTACAATATGGATGAATAGAATATACCTCTTTGGAAAAATTACAAATGTAAATAAATGACATGATCAAGAACAAAAATAAAGTTATGTCTTTTCAGACTGCATTTTATGTCAAAAAAGTACTTAAGTGACATTATGGCAGAGGGTTACATGTTCCTCCATGGAAACACACACACACACACACACACACACACACACACACACACACACACACACACACACACACACACACACACACACACACACACACACACACACTAGTACTCTC